ACTTCTGCAGCACGAGCACAAAGAAAGTGTGTGTTCAGCAGGATTGCTCTCGGCTTTCTCATGTGTTTGGCCGGAAATAGAAATAGAGGAAAGATCCTTTATTGGTTAAAAATGGTGCATGAAATCCCAGTCGGATGATTTCATTGTCTGTTTGGCTTTTGAGGACTTGTGTTCTCACATTTGCGCTGGTTTTCAATTCCCTTTATTTGGTTTTTGGCATGTTGTGTTAATGAGAGCATTATGAAAGCATAGGTTATTATATTTAAAGGGGTAGTTCACAGAAATTGGCTTACTCTAAACCTTTGTGAGTTTGATGTTTGAATACTAAAGTAGATATTTTGAAGAATGTTGGAAAATGGCACATCGACATCCATAGAAAAAACAAATACTATGAAAGTCAATTGTGTCCAACATTCTTCGGAATAATTTGGTTTTATTATCTTTTAAAAGGATAGTTCGTGCAAAAACAAATGTAGATAGTAAACAAAAGTAGGTATTTTGAAGAATGTTGGAAACTGGTATCCACTGACATCCACAGTATTTGTTTTTTCTACAGTGGAAGTTAATGGTTACCAGTTTCCAACATTCTTCACAATAATTTGGTTTTATTATCTTTAAAGAGACGGTTCACCCCCCACCCCCCACCCCCAAAAAAACCCCAAAATTTTACTCACTTTTTGTTTTGAATGCATGTGTAGATATTTTTGAAGAATGTTGGAAAATTGTAAACATTGACATCCATTGTAGGAAAAACAATACTATGAAAGTAAATTTAATCCAACTTTCTTCTGAATAATTTGGTTTAAAAGGATAGTTTGTGCAAAAACAAATATAAATAGTAAACAAAAGTAGATATTTTGAAGAATGTTGTAAAATGGAAACCATTGACATCCATTGTGGGGTAAAAAATACTATGATAGTCAATGGTTACTGGTTTCCAACATTTTTCAAAATTATTTAGATTTATTATCTTTAAAGGTACAGTTAATCTAAAAATTTATTTATTCCCTTTTTCTTTTAAATGAAAGAAGTAAGTATTTTGAAGAATGTTGGAAAATGGTAACCATTGACATCCACAGTATTTGTTTTGTCCTACAGTGGAATTTGATGGTTACCAGTTTCTAACATTCTTCACAAAAATTAGGTTTTATTATTTTTTAAAGGAACAGTTCATCCCACAAAACATTAATTTACTTTTTGTTTTGAATGCAAGTGTAGATATTTTGAAGAATGTTCAAATGGTGACCATTGACATTTATTCTAGGAAAACAAATACTATGAAAGTCAATTGTATCCAGCATTCTTCTAAATAATTTGATTTTATTATGTTTTAAAAGGATAGTTCATGCTAAATCAAGCATAGATATTTTGGAGAATGTTACCATTGACATCCACAGTATTTTTTTGGAAGTCGAAAATTTGGTTTTATTATTTTAAAGAAACATTTCACCAAAAATGAATTAACTTTTTGTTTTCAATGCAAGTGTAGATATTTTGAAGAATGTTCAGATGGTAACATAGGACATTTATTCTAGGAAAAACAAATAATAATATAATAATTTGGTTTTATTATGTTTTAAAGGGATAATTCATTTGAAAACAAAAATAGATAGTAGACAAAAGTAGATATTTTGAAGAATGTTAGAAAATGGTTACCTTTGACAACCATTGTGGGACAAAGAAATACTATGGTAGTCAATGGTTACCGTTTTCCAACATTTTTCAAAATAACCTCGATTTATTTTCTTTAAAGGTACAGTTAATCCAAATATATATATGTATATACTCACTTTTTTTCTTTTAATTACAAAAGTAGGTATTTTGAAGAATGTTGGAAAATGGTAACCATTGACATCCACAGTATTTGTTTTGTCCTACAATGGAAGTCAATAGCTACAAGTTTCCAACATTATTGGAATGGTTACTGGTTTCCAACATTCTTTACAATTATTTGTTTTATTATCTTTAAAGGAACAGTTAAAAATGTATTTACTCACTTTTTGTTTTGAATACGAGTATATATATTTTGAAGAATGTTGGGAAATGGTAACCATTTACATCCATTGTAGGAAAAACTAATAAAAGGGTAGTCAATTGTGTCCAACATTCTTCAAAACAATTTGGTTTAATTCTCTTTTAAAAGGATAGTTCATGCAAAAAATAAATGACATTGTTTTGAAAACAAAAGAAGATATTTTTAAGAATGTTCAACTGGTAACCATTGACGTCTATTGTAGAAAAATCACTATGGAAGTCAATGGTTCCCATTTTCCAACATTCTTCAAAATAATTACGGTTTTATCACCTTTATAGGGATTAAGCAATTAAATTTATATCTACTCCAAACCTCTGTGATTTTGTTTTGTTTATAAAAGTGTAGATATTTTGAAGAATGTCGGAAAATGTTGGTTACAATTGACATTCATTGTAGAAAAAAGAAATACTATGGGAGTCAACGGTTTCCAATTATTTTCAAAATAATTTTATATTATATGTAAAGGGATAGTTCAGGAAAAAATTAATTAACTCACTCCAAACCTTTGCAAATGTGTGTGCTTTTTTAATACAAATGTAAATATTTTGAAGAATGTTGGAAAATGGTAGCTATTGACATCTAGGTGTAAAACAAATACTATGGAAGTCAATGGTTACCGGTTTACAACATTCTTAAAAATAATTTAGCTTTATCACCTTAAAATGATTAGTTCAACTCCCCAAAAATATTTACTCACTTTTTGTTTTGAATTGAAAAGGAGGTAATGTGAAGAATGCTGGAAAGTGGTGGCCATTGACATCTACTGTAGGAAAAACTAATACAATGGAAGTCAATGGTTACCGGTTTCCAACATTATTCAAAATAATTTGGTTTTATTATCTTTAAAGGTACAGTTCATCCGATCAATTTCATTTACTCACATTTTGTTTTAATACAAAAGTAGACACTTTAAAGAATCAGGGTTCTTACGGGTGCTGGAAATCCTGGAAAATGCTTGAATTTTAATATAGTGTTTTCAAGGTTAGAAAAGTGCTTGGATTTCGGACAAAGTGCTTGAACCTGCTTGAGTTTGAAATTGCTGGGCTCGAAATTGACAGTTTTGGTTGCATATGCGCACAATTTCATCTGTGACCTCTAAATATGTTTGGGAGCATATGTGCAAGTGCATAAATTGTTGTTGTGCGACCAGTTTTTATTGCAAAATGTTCACCGCATGCATGCATTTATGGAGCTAATAATATGCCAAAACAATCTGAATTTGAATTGTGTTAAATTTAATTATTAATAATTGTAAGCTAATAAAACTGATCACATGCTATTAAAAATGTTAAACCGAATTTGAATTTCTTAACTCGATTATTGAACATCTTAAATTTAACACAATTTTTTAAGTCAGATTTTTATAGACATATTTTTTAACTTTAGATTTTTTGGTTCTGAATTCAAAGACTGCAGATTTTGGGTATGTAAAAAATACAGTTTTAAGTTTTTAAGAATCCAAACTATTCAAATTTAGATTGTTTTGCCATTATTAGCTTTATACTAATTTAGGAAACATTCACCCAGAATGCAACTTTGCATCTGAAACGCCAATTAAATGACTGTAAAAAATAAAAAAAATAGCAATGCACTTGAAATATCATGAACGACCGGTTATGAAAGTTTGGGACTACACCCAAACAAAATCTGACTGTGAGCACATTTCTTGAGATATCAACTTTAGGTGGAAAGAGACCGAACTTAAAAACCTACATCCAATAACTGAACTTTTTTTCTTTTTTTTTTTTTGTCTTAATACAAATGTAGACATTTCGAAGAATGTTGGAAAATGGTAGCCATTGACATCCATTGTAGGAAAAACAAATGCTATGGGATATACTGGTGTCCAACTTTCTTCAAAGAAATTTGGTTTTATTGTCTTTTAAATGGGATAGTTCATGCAAAAAACAAAAAAAAATCTCACTTTTTGTTTTGAATATAAAACTAAATAATTTGAAGAAAGTTGGACAATGTTAGCCATTGACATCCATTTTAGGAAAAACAAATACTATGGTAGTCAATTGCATCAAACAATCTTCAAAATAGTTAGGTTTTTTTTATCTTTAAAGGCATAGATTACCACCAGATTTTTTATTTACTAACTTGAAACCATGGTAAATGTGTTTTTTTTAATGCAAGTGTAGATATTTTGAAGAATGTTGGGGAAATGGTAGCCGTTGACATCCTATGTAGCATAAACAAATACTATGGGAGTCAGTGGTTTTCAACATTAAATAATTTGGTTTTGTTATCTGTAAAGGGAACTCAAAAAAGATCATTTACTCACTTTGTTTTGAATACAAATGTAGATATCTTAAAAAAATGTTGGAAAATGGTAACCATTGACATCCATTGTAGAAAAAAATATGGAGTTCAGTGGTTACCGGTTTCCAACATTCTTCAAAATAATTTGGTGTTATTCTCTTGAAATGGTAAAGTTCACCCCAATATTAAACTTTCGAGAGTTTGTTTTTTGTTTTGAATACAGAAGTAGATATTTTGAAGAATGTTGGAAAATGATAACCAATGTAGGAAAAACAAATACTATACAAGTCAGTGGTTACCACTTTCCAACATTCTTCAAAATATCTTCTTTTACGTTCAGCAGATAAAGAAACTCAAACTGGTTTGCGATAAATAATAATAATTTAATATTTTAGTTTAACTTTATTTAATAACCCCTACTAGAGTTGCAATTAATTTCATTCCACGAATGCTGATGTGAAATAAATAAATTAAGATCAACAACAACACATCAATGTCTAATAAACTGTAATTACAGTGGAATTAATTTACCATAGATGTTATTAAAACTTCCCATTTTCACGTAAACATTTATGCAACGTTTATGCAATGTTCATGCAACATTTATTGTAAACTCTGGCATCAGTTTGTCGATATTTGAGTTTGTTCATGATATTGATCTCACTGTAAAATCATGTCCGTTGTTGTGTTTTCTTTGCAGGTGAATTTTATGACCGAAGACGGTCAGAGGTCGGAAGAGCTTGACAGAGAATCTGTACGGTTAAAGGGAGCCAGAAAACCTACCACCACTTTCAAGGCCACATTAATGCACATCAGGTGAATATTAGGGCTATGCAACGAATCTGCATGTTGTCAGTGTGGGTGTGTGCTTCACACTTCTGTCAGTCTATGTCGCCGTTCATCTAAAACTCCACATCTATAATCCTCTGAGTCTATGCTGACATCATCTTCAGCAGCTCAAACACTCTAATGGCTAATGGACAGACGGCTGCTTCTCACTCAGGGCTGCTGTTTATGCTAATGAGATGGAGAGATGGGCACTAGTGGGCGGGGCTTTCCCACTCTGATGACACGTACAAAGGGAGAATGTCAATCAAAGTGTTTCTGCAGACTGATTCATCAAGTCTGATTAACAAACACAGTTAATTCATGTTGACCATTAGAGGCTGGAGATATTCACACACTGCTGACACACAACTGGGTTTACACCCTGCATAAAAGTGATTCCTGCATATTAGGCCCCCTTTAAATATGCAATAAACATGCATAAAAGTGTGTGGCTATTCACATAAACCTTTGTTGTGTTATAAATGAACAATGTATATCAATGAATACTTGTATATTGGATCCATGCAGCTCTTAAAGTGACAGTGCACTATATTCCTGCTACCTGTTTTTGTTATTATACTACAGTATTACATTATACTGTCGTCAATTATTCCTTGCGTATATTTTTTAAAAACTGAATTGGTAGTTCAAAGACAAAGGTAAACACTAGTGCAAGAGCTGTGCTAGTTTACATTTCGATTGCCATACGGTAATTATGCATTAAATATGAAACAGGGCATGTACTTACTGTCAGTATTAAGATCAAGAATCACTGATGACATATTAAAAGATTATATATTGAGCATCACAGTTTGACCCCAAAATACTCAATTTTCTTCTAAATCTTTATACGTTTACTGCCTTTAAACTGCTAGATTTTACACAGTCGATGACAAAGCAGTGTTTCTCAACCACGTTCCTGGAGGAGCACCAGCACTGCATGTTTCTCATGTTTACAGGTCTTTCAGTCTCCACTAATGAGCTGATGATCTGAATTAGGTGCGTTTAAGGAGACATGGAAAATGGTGGTCCTCCAGGATCATGGTTGAGACACACTGACAGCGTTGTCGTCATTTCAAACAAACTCACATTTAGCATGATCACTTAATAGATATGTTGAAGTACAGCTCAGAATTAGGTGTGGTGTCATTTTGACATTCATTCTTTTGCCTTTTCATTTTGATAGACTCACCGGCCACTTTATTAGGTACACCTTACTAGTACCTGGTTAGACTTCCTTTTGCCTTCAGAATTGCCTTAATCCTTCGTGGTGTAGATTCAGCAAGCTACTGGAAATATTCCTCAGAGATTTTGCTCCATATTGACATGATAGCATCACACAGCTGCTGCAGATTTGTCGGCTGCACATCCATGATGCCAGTCTCCCGTTCCACCACATCCCAAAGCTGCTCTATTGGATTGAGCTCTGGTGACTGTGGAGGCCATTTGAGTACAGTGAACTCATCGTCATGTTCACCAGTCTGAGATGATTGAGCTTTATGACATGCTGCGTTATCCTGCTGGAAGTAGCCATCAGAAGATGGAGACACTGTGCTCATAAAGGGATGGACATGGTCAGCAGCAATACTCAGGTAGGCTGTGGCGTTGATGCTCAATTGGTACTAATGGACCCAAAGAAAATCTCCCCCACACCATTACACCCCCACCACCAGCCTGAACCGCTGATACAAGGCAGGATGATCCATGCTTTCATGTTGTTGAGGCCAAATTGTGAGCCGAGCATCTGAATGTGTCAGCAGAAATGGAGACTCATCAGAGCAGCAACGTTTCTCCAATCTTCTATTGTCCAGTTTTGGTGAGCCTGTGTGAATTGTAGCCTCAGTTTCCTGTTCTTAGCTGACAGGAGCGGCACCCGGTGTGCTCTTCTGCTGCTGTAGCCCATCCGCCTCAAGGTTGGACGTGTTGTGTGTTCAGAGATGCTCTTCTGCAGAGCTCGGTTGTAACGAGTGCTTATTTGAGTTACTGTTGCCTTTCTATCAGCTGGAACCAGTCTGGCCATTCTCCTCTGACCACTGGCCTCATCAACAAGGCATTTGCGCCCACAGAACTGCCGCTCACTGGATATTTCCTCTTTGTCTGAGCATTCTCTGTAAAGCCTAGAGATGGTTGTGCGTGAAAATCCCAGTAGATCAGCAGTTTCTGAAATACTCAGAGCAGCCCGTCTGTCACCAACAACCATGCCACGCTCAAAGTCTCTTAAATCCCCTTTCTTCCCCATTCTGATGCTCACTTTGAACTGCAGCAGATCGTCTTGACCATGTCTACATGCCTAAATGCACTGAGTTGCTGCCATGTGATTGGCTGATTAGAAATTTGCATAAACGAGCAGTTGGACAGGTGTACCTAATAAAGTGGCCTGTGTGTGTGTGTGTGTGTGTGTGTGTGTGTGTGTGTGTGTGTATATATATATATATATAGCTTGTCTATGACCCAAAAGTATTTATTCAGAGATTGGCGTTAAAAGGTAATCTGTACAGAGCATTAGTCTACGTTTCAGCATTTATCATATTCGTTCACATTAGTTGATGAAAATGAAGTCATTCACTGTTAGTTGACTAATGTTAAACAGCTTGAATTTGGATTTTAATAATGCATTAGTAAATGTTGAACTATGATGCTGTACAAGTTTAGTTCATGTTAGTTAATACATTAACCAATGGAACCTTATTGTAAAGTGTGACCAGATCATTTAGCATCTTTAATTCGTGAAATCTTCAAAACAGTTGCTGATGGCTGCGCTGTAATTCATTAATATTAATATTGTAATGGTAATGTTGATCAGCAGTGCAGGTGCTTCTTCGTGTTGAGGCTGGATTGAGATATTTCTGTGTATAATAAAAATATCTGCCTCAGCTTTGATGTTTCTAATGGATGCATTTGCCAGGAATCCACTGGGATCCATGACTGAAATAACTGGATTTTAATGGAGGGGTTTCAGCGGGTTTTTTGTGTGGTTTCTCTTGAATCATCCTACTTGTCATATAAATATTGAAAAGAGAAATGCATGTGCACGCTGACATACACTGAACAGGTCAGATGATTCATTCATGAGTCGGCTCATACTCAACGAATCAATGATTCATTTGTGTGTGTGTCAGGTTTGCATGTGTCGTTTGTCACATATTAAAAGGGTATATTTATTTTAGATACTGCATCGGTGCAAAGTAAATGAAATATGAGAAACATTTTACTCAGAGTTTTTATAGTACACTTTCAACAATGAACAGAAGAAAACAAATTCAACATTTACCAATATATATAAAAATCTTACACTGCTCATCATATTAATATTCATTCATTCACTCATTTTTCTTTGGCTTAGATTTCAGAGGTCGCCACTGCAGAATGAACCACCAATTATTCCGGCATATGTTTTATGCAGCGCATAAACCTTCCAGCTGCAACCCAGTACTGAAAAACACCCATACACACACACCCACTCATACACTACAGCCAATTAATTCATCAGTTCCCCTATAGCGCATGTGTTTGGACTGTGGGGGAAATCGGAGCACCCGGAGGAAACCCACACCAACACGGGGAGAACAACTCTATACAGAAATGCCAACTGACCCAGCCGGGACTCAAACCAGTGACCTTCTTACTGTGAGGCCACAGTGCCAACCACTGACCCACCGTGTCACCCCACATTTTAAAAATGACTTTAAATAATCAGAGGGCAAACTCATTCAGGGAAACCCCTGTGTGTGTAAAGCTGCCATGTAGTGCAGCGCGACTATCAAAAAGCATCATGACAAATCATTAAATTCCACCAGTCAACTAGTCGGTTCTAATATCAATAAGAACTATAATAGTATATTGTGAGTCAAATGTTAGGTTAATGTATTAAAAGTATGCACATCAATCCAGTGGTGGTTCTAGTTTCAGGGAATACTCTCACTATGCCATCCGTACTGTGCCCAGGCCCGTTTCCTGGATCGTTTGAGAAGGGTGAGTGCGCTGAATCGGGCTCAAGCGCAGTTCACTTGGCCGGCCCTGGCCCGGTTGGAGGAAGTGTGCACGAGCGCGGTTCACTTGGGCTTTGGCGCGGCGCGGTATGCTTGTGTGTGTGAGTGCAAAACGCACCAAAGCCCGAAACTGAAAGCGAGACGTGACTTTTAAGAGACTGTTTCATATGGATTTATTAATCATTCTTACTGTTCAGTGAACACAAACTGCCATAGTTTATTAAAGACGCAAACCCCTCACTGCACGTCAGCTGCGCACCTTCAGCAGACCTCCTCATTCCTGCAGCACGAGGGCTTTATGATTGTTTATGAGCGCCAAAAGTGTCGAATCTGTTCGGCAAAATATCTGTCTGCGTGTCCCCGCATCCCTAAGGACTGTTTGGTGAAATATTTGACAGCATGTCACTGCATATTAAACCACTGAAACAATATAACTAGAGAAATCTCCACTGTGCTGCTGAGTGAGAGAGCGCTTCTCACTGAACAGTGCAGCAGTGATGACGTAAGCGTGCCCAGACCCATTTGTGGTGTGAGTACAGGCCGTCGGGGGAGACGGGAGGGGGACAAGCGTGCTTTGGCCTGGTTCGAGGCAACTGTACCTAGTGTGAGTACAGCCTAAATAGCACCCCGGCCGACCACTTTCCCCCCACCCAAAAACAAAACAAAACTAGAACCGTGCAAAAGACACCAAGCGTGAATGGGCCCTTACATCTTTATTCTAACCACTCTAAATTAATACACTTGCATAAAGCAAATCGGATCTCAAAGCTTTTACTGGGGTTGTTTTTTTGTTTTGTTTTTAACTATCCCCTGTGCTACCCCTATAGCAAATGATTCTCTAGCGCAGTGGTTCTCAAACTGTAGTATGTGTAGCACTAGAAGTATGCAGGCTTCCTTCTAGTGGTAGGCGGAGGAATCAAATATGTCATATGTACATGCTACATACAGGCCTGGATTGGCTAATCGGGAGGACCGGGAGAATTCCCGATGGGCCAGTCCGTTTTTTGGCCGCGAGGGCCGGTGTCCCTAGCTGCTTGCACTCTCAGCAGTCGCACTTTTTTCATTTATTTATGTATTTGACCAGAGCTTCACTCTTTTTAATTATTATTTTGCCGCAGCTCTGCTCTTTTTATTTATTTTCTCGCAGCCCCGTGAGCAAAATACAGCCTGCAGGGTAATAATGAAGTAAATATCATCATTCGACGCTAAACAGCGGCACCTTAGTAAATATAAGAATTCAAATAATTAATATTAATGAATAATACACCTGCTCAATGAAAATCAGATGATTCACTACATTCATAAATCTAATGTAACCTGATCAGAAATCTGTGTGATGTATTAATTGGCTGTAGTGTATGAGTGTGTGTGTGTGTATGGGTGTTTCCCAGTACTGGGTTATAGCTGGAAGGTTTATCCTCTGCATAAAATACATGCTGAAATAATTGGTGGTTCATTCTGCAGTGGCGACCAATGAAATAGAGACTAAGCCAAAGAAAAATGAGTGAATGAATGATCAGAAATCTGAAATATTTTCTCCCACCACAACACCACAACCACCACAACATTGTGGTCTAGTGGTCAGCACGTTGCTTTAAGACGCCGCCGTGTTCGAATCTCACCTAAACATCATTATTTTATTAATTTTTTCATTTTTATTGTTAAGACATATAATACTGTGAGGGCTGTTGAACATGTAAAGTTCTACAGCAGCTGTTTTCTTGAAAAAAAGACATTAGAAACTGAAATTTAAATGACCTTATTTTAATATAGTCAGTCGTGAACTGAGGTGGGCCGGTCTGGCTTGAAACTCCAGGGCTGAAAAGGAGTCCCACTCCGGCCCTGGCTACATATATTTCAAAATTGGTCAAAAATGATTTATATATGAATATGACATATAATAATATGCATTATATGACATTTAGCCTATATTTCCGAAGTCCAGGCAACATTTTCAGGTGTTGATAAATTGGCTACTAAGTTAATACTTTACATTTCAGTACAAGAGTTTTCTCTTTACCTTAAGCCTATTTTAATTTAAATGTTGACATTTTTAGTTAGTCTTTTTTTAAATATAAGCACAGTACAGTGTTAACATTCAGACTATTTATGTTTGAAGTGGCTGACGATAATAAATATTCTTATAATAGGAATTAATCTAATAGTATCTGGATGCAGCCTTTATGATGCAAGCTGAGACCGCATCACTCAGCGATGCAATGTCAGATGCACTCAAATGGAGCGAGTGATGTCACTGTGACGGGTAGGGTTAGGGGTGGGGTTAGGGTGAGCCCAATAAAAAGCATTGGATGCAGCTCAGATTGCAGTGCGCCAGGTCTGCAGCCAGACCCATCTCAATTAATCTGCCACATTTCTGAACTGTACAGAGCTGTAGCTGCTTTACTGGGCTTACTACGCTACTGTATTTCAACACTGCTCATGATGGGGGTACTAGGAGAGACGATTTGTTTCTGTGGTGGTACTTGATGAAAAACGTTCGAGGACCACTGCTCTAGCGTAATGTCTAAAGTAATGACAAAACAGCTGATTTTGCTCTCATATTAAGATTATAAGGCTGAACAACATGAATTGTCATCAGTCTACAGAGATTTCCCAGTATTTCTCTGTTACAATCGGGAGATCACAATAATTAACCCTGAAAAAGCCAAAGCAAAGCACACACTAGCAGATTACTATGGTATAAATACAGCACTACAGCATACAAAAGAGAGAGATCGACTTAGAAAGTCACTTACCTGATTTATAATGATTTGATCAGCTGTAGTTTGACATTTACGCTGACTTTTTCCTCACCTAAGGACTTATACTATGCGGTCTCTGTCACCATCTTGTGGCAGAACATCTATAGCAAGATGCCACCCTGGGCGATCGCCCATATTGCCCATGCCTGAATCCGCCACTGCATCAATCTCAGTGCTCAGCCAATGAAAATATTGTTTTAAATATATACGGTAACACCAAAAGCTCTAAAATGATTACATTTATTTACTTGTGAAGTTTATTTATAAACTAATTTCGAGAGGAGCACACGCTTATGATTGATAGCACCTGGTCCACATTAGCTAACACTAATTTACCAATCAGACGACTCCTTAACCACTATAAGTAACCAGAGTGTCTTACTCCAGCCATCTTCGTCTTGAAGAATCCCCCCTTCCACCCCTACTCCTCCCATTTCCTTGTCAGGGCAGCACGGAGGCCTAGTGGTTAGCACCACGGCTGCACAGCAAGAATGTCACCAGCTCGGACTCTACCTGGCTAGGTCAGAGTTTCTGTGTGGAGTTTGCATGTTCTCCTCGTGTTTGCGTGGGTTTTCACAGGCTCTCCGGTTTCCTCCCACAGACCAAAAACATGTAACATAAGAAAATCGACAAATCTAAATTGACAGCACAGACACTTCATAGCATTAATCTACTTCCAGCATTATCAAGCAGGGGAGTTCTCGAGACCTACCTGAACTCGGACTCCCCTCTCGCCCTGCAACAGGGGGGAGCCCCGTGCTCGAGGATCTCACGAGTTCAGGGCTCTGTCCCGAGACAGCATGCCAAACAGGCTCCACAATCAATCATCAGCTAAGGGCGATCACAGAGTAAATACATTGGTTCATGCAATAACTAATGCAACAAATGAAACCTTATTGTAAAAATGTCCCTGCATGTTCTCATGTCAAACAAAGTCAAAACCTGTGTTGATTATGTCGACTGCATTTCTACTGCATTGTACTTCAGACATAAGAATATAAATCCTTGTTGCTCTTCTGACTGTATAAAAATAGACCGTTTCACATCAGAAGCATCAACATGGAGATGCATGAAGATTTATCTGATTCATACACACAGATTCACACACATTCACTGTTGAGATTCACACACATGCATGTTTAAAGTCCCACCGCTGGAGGATTTGATGTAAATCCGTTGGGCTCGGCAGGTTGTTGTGTTCCAGCATGTTTGCTAATGAATGCAGGCTGTTGTGTGAGATATTTCTGGAAACACTTGATGCTGTAATGCATTAGTGCAGGCTGTGGATCAGATCTTGATCATCATCGTGTGTGTGTGTGTGTGTGTGTGTTTTCTTTCAGTCCGGCTGAAGAGCTCAGTTTCGGTGCATCAGAATCAGAGAAGAAGTGTTTAATCGTCCTCAACAACGTCACTAAAAACCACGTGGCCTTTAAGGTGAGATATCAGAACATTACAGAGGTGAAGGAAAATTATTCACCAGTATTTCAGCAAATATTCCCCAAATGATGTTTAACAGAGCAAGGACATTTTCACCGTAATTCCTGTAATGTTTTTGTTATTCTAGAACTAGTCTCATTTCTGTTAGTTTGGCTAGAATACGGCCTCTGCGGTCAGCACAGCAGTTTCGGTTAGTTGTGTAAGAAGGGTTTTAATCCACAGCGGTTCGAACTGTAGTTCTGCCGAGCGACTAAAAAGTGATCAGCATGATGGTAAAAAACTGTACATTTCTAGTCAAACCATTCTCCTGCAATCTCATACCAAAAACATAAATAAGGGCAGTGTTAATAGCTATAAATGTGGGAGAGCGCTGATATTACGTGATTGTATTGTATTGTAATATGGAACAATTAAGTGTTGATGTTAAATCAAAAGCAATTCACAAATACATGAAAATGAGCTGATTTAATGACAATAATTCTCTATGATTACAACTGAATTAATAACAAAATACTGTATAAAATGATCAAATATGAAATGATAAAACATATGATACTAATTGTACCCAGCTTAAATGTAAAATTAAAGTTACCAGAGGTAGAAGGAGAGACACAGGGGGAGGGAGAGAGACAAAGAGAGCAGGCCCAGAAGCCTGATTGCAGTAGAGTCAGAGAAGATAGACTCCAGAGGAGGAGAGGAGCAGAGCAGGAGAGAAGCAGGCCAGGAAAAGAGAGAGCAGGAAAAGAGACAGAGCCCGAGTTTACCACCTATCTTGTATATTTCTTGACCATGTGACTAAAGCCATTCAAGACATTCAAACTGACCAATCAACATGTGACCACACTATAAAACCCCCAAAGTCCACACAACAGGCCCTGATCTTATCAGTTTCTGCCTTTGTAGTCAGTATGGACCTGCTTGAGTCAAAAAGACATGTTTTATCATATAAACAAATGCATATGATAATTTAGCCTCTCACAGTTCCCAAGTCTCCATTAAAATCAAAAGGAGAAGGGGCTTTTTTTGGTGCAGCCCCTTGTCTGTGGAATGGTTTGCCTTTATATATATATATACAGTATATATCATTCTGTTCCCTTGGTGCTTTAATCATTCATTTATTTTCTTTTTGGCTTAGTCCCTTTGTTAATCTGGGGTCGCCACATCGGAATGAACCGCCAACTTATCCAGCATATGTTTTCATAGCGGATGCCCTTCCAGCTGCAACCCATCTCTGGGAAACACCCACACACACACTCATTCACACTCATACACTATAGACAATTTAGCCTACCCAATTCACCTGTACCACGTCTTTGGACTGTGGTGGAAACCGGAGCACTCAGGGAAACCCACGCGAATGCAGGGAGAACATGCAAACTCCACACAGAAATGCAAACTGACCCAGCCAAGCTTCGAACCAGCGACCGTCTTGCTTAAATAAATAAAATACAAAAAAATTCAATGCGACGTTATGAAATACAATAAATAAAAATAAACAAATGCTGTAAACCAGGGGTCACCAAACTTGTTCCTGGAGGGCCGGTGTCCTGCAGATTTTACCTCCAACTCTAATCAAAAACACCTGAACAACCTAATCAAGGTCTTACTAGGTATACCTGAAACATCCAGGCAGGTGTGTTGAAGCAAGCTGGAGCTAAACCCTGCAGGACACCGGCCCTCTAGAACTGAGATTGGTGACCCCTGCTGTAAACTGTACAAAAAATGGTGCTTTGCTTTTGTAATTCTCGATTATTTATATTTTATTCATTCATTCATTCATTTTCCTTCAGCTTTGTCCCTTTATTCTTCAGGGGTCGCCACAGCGGAATGAACCGCCAACTAGCCATAGGCCAGTTTAAGATTGTGAGGTTATGATATCCTTGGATAAAAATATGACGGTATTGTGCTCACTACTCTAGTATATATATTCTTTTTAAATGTCGGGGTAAAAAACTACAACTTTTTTCGCCTTTGTAAACGATATAATTTATTATTTTTGAAAGATTTATAATAGTTTGGAGCAGTAAACATTCATTCATTCATTCATTTTCTTGTCGGCTTAGTCCCTTTATTAATCTGGGGTCGCCAGAGCGGAATGAACCGCCAACTTATCCAGCAATTCTTTACGCAGCGGATGCCCTTCCAGCTGCAACCCATCTCTGGGAAACACCCACACACATTCACACACACTCTCATACACTACAGACAACTTGGCCTACCTAATTCACCTGTACCACATGTCTTTGGACTGTGGGGGAAACCGGAGCACCCGGAGGAAACCCACGCGAACGCAGGTAGAGCATGCAAACTCCACACAGAAAAGCCAACTGAGCTGAGGCTCGACCCAGCAACCTTCTTGCTGTGAGGCGACAGCACTACCTACTGCGCAGTAAACATGTCAGGCTGAATAATTCAAATAGATCATTGACTTTTGCAGTCTTCATTAGTGTCAAAAACACGGATTTCTTAACAATTTAAAACGGCGTCTTTGAATATTTTTCCTGCTGGAGTTACTGTTGTCCTAAAAAACTACAAAAAAAAATGTACACAAAAAATCGTACTCATACTTTAGGAACGGTATTACAGAACATTTTGGCGGTTTTAAAACCTTGACTTTTTCAAACTGCGGTATACCTTAAAAACGAAGATCATCCCATGCCTACCGTCAACTATTCAAGCACATGTTTTACACAGCGGATGCCCTTCCAGCCTGCAACCCAGTACTGGAAAACACCCATACACAATTATTCTCTCACACACACACACACACTCATACACTACGGCCAATTTAGTTAATCAATTCCCCTATAGCGCATGTGTTTGGACTGTTGGGGAAACCAGAGCACCGGGAGGAAACCCACGCTAACACGGGGAGAACATGCAAACTCCACACAGAAATGCCAACTGACCCAGCCGAGGCCCGAACCAGCGACCTTCCTGCTGTGAGGCCAACCACTGACCCATTGTGCCACCCACAAGTTTTATATATATATATATATATATATTTTAAGGTTAATATTAATATCCACCTTAATGTTTTTTTTCCATTGTCTACAGAACAGAACAGTATGTTTGTTTAACGATTTGCCCAATTACCCTAATCTGCATAATTAACTGAAAATGAAAGTCAGAACTGAGACTCAATGTAAACCAACAACGACACGCGGTGTTACATTGTTGTGTTTATTTGGGCTGATTTGCGGTGGTGTTTTCTGTGCGCAGGTCCGAACGACGGCTCCAGAAAAGTACCGTGTGAAGCCCAGTAACAGCAGCTGTGAGCCTGGAGCCAGTGTGGACATCGTTGTTTCACTTCACGGAGGTACGTAATAATCCAATATTATTAATACTAATATATGAGCAATATCACATGAGTAGCAGTGAGTAGGAGGTGTGTGCGTTGACTTAGTGTCCCACCAGTGCTTATATACAGCCATATGGCACTGCTACTCGTGTGATATTGCGTTTATACAACAGTTTGACGGCACAATCTTGTATATAAAAAAGAAAATCAAACACAGAGAGCTTAAAAACCCTTATGTATGAGGAACTACTTTCTTCCGCCATTCATTCACATCTACAGCTGACGTCAGAACAGCAGAAACTGCTGCTCATTCACCAACATCACTGTAGAGCAAGTGTTTGAATGACTCTCTAGCGTAATGTCTAAAGTGATGAAAAAACAGCTGATTTGGCTCACACTTAAAGATTATAAGGCTGAACGGCATGAAATGTCTATAGCAGGGGTGTCTAAACTCTGTCCAGGAGGGCCGGTGTCCTGCTCTGTTTAGCTCCAGTCTGCTTCAACACACCTGTCAGGAAGTTTCAGTATATCTAGTAAGAGTTGATTAGCTGGTTCATGTGTGTTTCATTAGGGTTGGAGCTAAACTCTCCAGGACACCGGCTCTCCAGGACCGTATGTGGACACCCCTGCTCAACAGAGATTTCCCAGTATTTCTCTGCTGCAGTTGGGAGATCACAATAATTAACCCCGAAAAAGCCAAAGCAAACACTAGCAGATTACTATGGTATAAATACAGCACTACAACATACAAAAGAGAGAGATCGACTTAGAAAGTCACTTCCCTATAATGATTTGATAAGCTGTGGTTTGAAACTACACTTTTACACTTTTAAAATACAGTTTTTTTCCTCTAAGGCAGGGGTGTCAAACTCAATTCCTGGAGGGCCGAAGCCCTGCACAGTTTAGTTCCAACCCTGCTCCAACACACTTACCTGTAGGTTTCAAACAAGCCTGAAGGACTCAATTAGTTTGATCAGGTGGGTTTAATTAGGGTTGGAACTAAACTGTGCAGAGCTGTGGCCCTCCAGGAACTGAGTTTGACACCTGTGCTCTAAGGGCCTATTATGCGGTCTCTGCCGCCATCTTGTGGCGGAACATTAATCATCTTTGCTCTGCTCAGTATGACAGGCTGATGGATGCCGAAGAACTTTTGTATAAATATATGCTGAACTAAACGGCAGTACTTTAAAATTCATGATATGCAATGCTAGGCTTCAACTGGTATTAAGTTTGTCATACTTTACTATAGGGTTGTTTGAGTTAATGCAGTTATTAACATGAACAAACAATAATAATAATTTTAGACAGCTTGTAGGATGTTTATTATATTTTATGCAGATGCTCTTTTCTACAATAACAGCCAATCATAGATCAATACAATGAAAGGACACCACTGAAATAAGCAGAGTTTGATCATTTTACCATCATTTTCTAAGGGTACAATTTCTGGTCACTTTATTTTGAGGGTCCGTTTCTCATTAGATTATCAGTAGACTGTTAGGTTGGGGTTAGTGTTAGTTAACATGTACTCGCAAAGTTTCTTATAGTCAGTTAAATGTCTAATGAAGGAGCAGAATAAGCAGATATTAAGCAGACAGTCTACTAATACTCTAATGGACCATCAAAATACAGTGCTAAACACATTCTCATGCCTGAATGCTTTTAAAATCATCATATAGTCACAGCACAGGCCTCAAAACCCATGCAAAAAAAAGTTATAATCGAGACTCAACATAGCAGATCCTGGGATGTGACTATAGCCAATAATCATATTGTAATATTGGTGCATGATGCATTATTTGTGTGTGTTTTAGGCTTCCAGGCGTCTCCGCAGGACCGCTTTCTGGTGATGGCGGCAGAGATGGAGAGTAGCAGTGGAGCTGCCGCCACTGATCTGGCTCAGTTCTGGAAGGAGGTTTCAAAACCCAAAATCATGGAGCACAGGTGACGATTTCATCTTTATTTGCATTTACAATGTAGAGTGTGTCAAAGCAGCTGAACACTCAAGTTCTAGTAGATTGAAACTGTGTCAGTCCAGTGTTCAGAGCTGAAGTTCAGTTCACTGTGGTTTACTGTTCACTACTGAGAGTCCGAACACTGAAGAGCAAATCCATGCATGCGGAACTCCACAACTCCCAAACCAAGCAAGCCAGTGGCTCAAACAAGCCAGGTGTTGACTCAAACACCTCATTTATAATAATTCAAGCACTGTCTCCACCTGCTGGCAACAGGAAAAGCCACGTTTTACACTGTAACACTCCACATAGAAATTTTATCAGATCAAATCCAAGTTGTCAAAGGCTTCTGTGATGTTAAATTGTGACTCGCATAATGTCAGATCTTCCTGAAAATTCACATGAAAATTCCCGGAAATGCTATTGGCTGTTTTGTTTAAAGGGGACGAGCTACTCTCTGCCCCGTCCTCTCTTCATGCTTCAGTTGAGATTACGTCAAACATCAAATAAAAAATGTCCTTTAAAGGTTATAAAAATCAAATAATTTAATTAATTCTGTCGTGCTTTTACAATATAGATTGTGTCAAAGCAACTTAACATAGAAGTTCAAGTATATTGCTTCGGTTTTTACAGATGAAGTTCAGTTTAGTGTAAATCATATGTTAAAGATCCAGGAGCTTCTAGTAGGGCTGCAGGATAGTGGAAAAATTGTTTGCAATATTTTGTGTTTTTTCAATATATATATATATATATATATATATATATATATATATATATATATATATATATTGCAATACAAATATAATTCCAAAAGAAAACTCTATTAGGAAAGAATTCATCATTTTATGAGGATTTTGTAGGGGAGTGCATTTGCAGAAAATGTACAAAAATAGAAATAAATAAATAAATAAATATATGCAAAATAAATTAAAGCGCATAAATGTATAGAACAGCGCTTTATTGAATTTCTCTACCTTAATACTTCACCATAATCATGAAAAATAGCATGGTTTTTATTGTATAAATCAGGGGTGTCAAACGTACAGCCTGCAGGGCAGATCAGGCCCGCAAATAAATTTAATGCGTGCAGCGAGATGATTCTGTGAAGTATAAAACTGAGCTGCAATAATTCAATAATAGACACTGCTGTTCCAGTTGAGTCCACTGGATGGCGCAGTAGCACACTGTTATTTCATCCAATCCAGAAGCCGGAATCAGCGTCAGTTTGACAGCCTTCTCAGAGAGAAAGACCTCAGCGATATCGTCATACCACACTGAGGTGATCTCACGAGGAAACGTAACTATTTTACATTTGGTCAGTTTAGTGGCTAATACAAACGAGTTCAGTCGTATGAAAATGTACCATTTGAAAAATGAGGCGTGGCACCCAACCACACCCCTAAACCCAACCGTCATCGATGGACAAGCAAATAGTACTAAATTGTACAAATGAGATTGTACGAATTCATACAATATAGCCGCTTTGTTTGTGACCACATATGCTCATAATGCTCACGCATAAGCACTTGATTGTCTACTGGAAGTTCTGGGAGTCTCCCGCATATGAGACTCCCAGATGCCCGCAAACTGAACGATAATCTCCCGGAAATCATGCGTCCCACCCACCCCACGCAAATATATTGTGCACCCATCTCTCTCCCCACCTGTCTTTGCATACGTTGCCGTGCACCTCTCCCCCTTTCAAATACATTGCGCAACAAAATACGTCTCGTCCGGCCCACTTGTGAACAGATTTTACCCCATGTGGCCCCTGAGCTAAATGAGTTTGACACCCCTGATATAAGTAATTGAACAATTAATCTTCATTAAAGTGGCAAACGTTGAAATTTCTTGCAACCAAATGATTTAAGTTCACTTGAAATGGCTTGAGATCCTGCCGTGTGACTTGCAGGCTGTGATATTGACGCTGAAGTCATATAGTGTGCAGCTCTGCTTCTAATGATGCAAAGGCATCAAACACACAAACATGAAGCGAACAGAAAGCAGGTTAGGAAGAATCACATAAGCATGTGAGATGCGAAAGATCTGGACACGCATCCGTCATGATGAACTGCTGATTCCCGACTGCATGTCAGGAGTGTTTCAGCACCACGAGCTGTTTGAGATGACAAATGCTGTGCAATTCAACCACATTCAATTCGGATTTTAGTCTCCAACAATTGCGGAAAAACAATTACAGAGATCAAGCTATTATTGCAGTTTTAGGTGTAAATCGTGACAGCAGGACATACTTGATTTACTCAGCACAGGCTCATTGGGAAAATGTGCTCAGGGCTACATATTTGAGAACCAACAAACATGTGCTCATGGGTACGTATGACTGCAATGTGAGTGTAAAACAAAAGCTACAGGGCGATACTGCTGACCGCTTACCTCTGTATGGACGGCTTCTTTTCTGGAAAGAACCAAAAGCTTTTTATAACAGTCATTTTCAAGGGTTTTTTATAAACATTAAAGGCCAGAATCAAAATTGCATTGATAATTTGCAGAGCCCTAGTGGATGAATTATTATTATTATAATATGGGCGATGCAGTGGCGCAGTTGGTAGTGCTGTCGCCTCACAGCAAGAAGGTCGCTGGTTCGAGCCTCGGCTCAGTTGGCGTTTCTGTGTGGAGTTTGCATGTTCTCCCTGCGTTCACGTGGGTTTCCTCCAGGTGCTCCGGTTTCCCCCACAGTCCAAACACATGTGGTACAGGTGAATTGGGTGGGTTAAATTGTCTGTAGTGTATGAGTGTGTGTGTGGATGTTTCCCAGAGATGGGTTGCAGCTGGAAGGGCATCCGCTGCGTAAAAACTGGCTGGATAAGTTGGCGGTTCATTGTGCTGTGGCGACCTCGGAATAATAAAGGGACTAAGCTGACAAGAAAATGAATGAATTATTATCATATGAGGGACCTGGTGTTGCTTTATTCACCAAATAAATGCTTCTAATTGCATTTGCACTGTAAACTTAAATAAAAATAAGATTTCAGATTTTAAGGCGAGTTTTCAGATCTTCTGCTTTGAAACAATTCCAGATAAATCTACAGATTGTTTACGGAATTCTGCACACTACTAGCCAATAAAGTCCACAGATTGTGCTTGTATTAATAACAACTCCTGTTGTGTTTCCCACAGGCTCCGCTGTCACGTTTTGGAGAGTCCAAAGTCTATTCTGAGCAATTCATTTGAGTTTCCATCTAGTCCTACAACAAACGTCAATGAGCATCAGGATCTGCAGAGCACGGTGAGAGATCTACACACAGAGTCTGGTTATTTAAAGCAACACATACAAACAAAACTGATGCTCTTCATGCACTGCACACTTTAGAGATCTTTATATATAT